TGCTTTTTGATTATTATTTTTAATTTTACGCCGTAAAAAAAAAAACACACACAAAAAAACTCGGAATTTCAAGGAGTTGGGTATCTGACATAAATAAACTCCGATAAACCCCGAATCCTCAGCGAAAAATAAACTCCGAAAAACACCCTCCGTATTTCACGTAAAATACATTCCGAAAACACAGAACCCTAGTCATAGAACATTTCTGGGACAACAAGAAAGAGGCCGCTTTAGCTATTGGAGAGGAGATCAGATCGTGGTGCCCCAAGCGGTAAACTTTAGAACTGCACGGAACGTGACAACGAATACAATGACTCGGCGCTCGGCTGACATACCCGAACGCGGCGCCAGCGTTCGGCTAGAGTTCGGGCTCTCCGGCGAGGGGGAGGAGGGTCTCTTTTGTTACCATTTCGGACTGCATGAACAATTCAGCATGCAAGGTGCCCAGCTCAGCACAAAATCCCAAGTGGGTCAAGCTCGCATCCTCTGACGACTGCTTCCGGGAAAGATCCGGCACTTAACGTCCCTTCGCTTATTGTTAGTATATTTACATTACACTGTGCCCACGCTTTATTAAAGAAAATGACATGACCGTGCCCACAATGCCTGTGGGCACGGCCTGTGGTCACGGACACATGCCTACAAGGCCTGTGGGCATGTGTACAGGTCTTGTATTGGGTAAACAGAGAGGTGCGTTGGGGGCAAAAAACGGGTCTGAGCGCCTGGCCAATAGTGACATCGCTGTATATCACGTCCTGCGGCGCGCTTTGGACGCATCGCTTAACTACAGTCCATATTCGCTGTATGAGGAGTTCATTATAAACGAACTTGGGATACTGATAGGAGTAATGAATAACAAAGAGAACCCACATAATAGCCATAGGAGTAGTCGCACCTTCTTCAAGGTGCGACTACTGCCATGGCTATTCTTCAAGTAGGTTGCGTTCAGAAAGGCACTCAACGTTGGTGGACGCTTTGTTGGCATTTTGAGAGGTCACTCAGCTCGTAGTTCGTTTCCTGTACTGTTCTCCCCACTAAAAAAAAAATTATATGAAATTATTTCTGATATGTTTATTGGACACATTTTTCATATCACAACTTATTATTTCATATCAGTTTCATATGTTGCATATCAGTTTCGTGCCTACGCTACCATGTTACACATACCACTACCATCAGCTGAACATATACATTGAGCAATACACATACACGGCACAACAAACATGAATACAACAGCACACCCGATAACTACTGCTGCCAACCGGCGGAATCTTCCTATACCTCACATTGGGACTCCAATTGCAGACGGCAGCGCCAAATCTCCCCTAACGGGCGTTGCGTTTCTCCAAAAACAATAAGAAATAAACAAAACCATACACGCGCCGTCGTCATGGCAACCGCTAGATTATAGGGAAGGGTGGGGGAATCGTTGTTTCCCCTCTCCCTCTCACTCACCTTCGGCAACAAAAGGATGCAAGTTCGTTTGGAGTTTGGAGCAACCTCCAACTCCGAACAAACTTGCATCGTAATATCGGCTATGTTGAAAGAAGAGTTAACTGCTCCGATTGCCGGCGTCTCGTTCTTCTACAAAAAAATGTATGCAGCAGTATCCTTTTTACAAAAAAAAAAAGTGTTTACCTTTTTCTGCGAATGTCCGACGCTTCCGAAATGATCGCACTTGACTTTGCGTCGCTCGATTGAGATCAGCTCGGCAACAGTTCATGTTCAGTGACAGCCACTTCTCATGAGATCGTTAATCAATGAATGCAAAGTTTTCCCAGCCGCTGGTGTTTCGCGGCTTAAGATGGGCGCACATCGGCAGTCTGAGCACAAGTCCAAAGTTTTTTTGCAAGTTTTCTTTTTATTGGGCACGCTTTTATACAGAAAAAAAAAACCCGTTCACTTCATGGCACAACGAAGTAATAAAATCTACACGAAACAGCTATTCAAGCATTCACAGATCTGCAATCACACATTTAACTTTGCAATAATTAGCGACAGTGATTCGATCGCCACAGTCTCTCGCAGGTTCCTTCTGCAGCGCCAGTTGCTCCACGCACGTGCTACCGAGTTGCAGTGCGTTAACGCCGATCCCCCCCCCCCCCCCCCCCCACACACACACACCGCTCATCTAAACATAAATGCCCTGTCCCTTCTGACCTTCTACAATAACTATATCGTAATGAAACATGCATCCTCAAGTTTTCGGCAATCCGAAACTGTGTAACCGAAAGCATAGCAGCCCCTGCCTTTACCTTTCGTGACTCAGAAACCCAAGAAAGTTGGCAGAGCTGTTGCCACCTGGAATTAGAGCGCACCACTGAGTCGACCAATATACAAGGTGCCGTTTGATCGGCGTACTGGTAGGCGATATACACCGATAACCAACAGGTCAACACCACTGCCCGCTGCCGCAAACGAAAACGCTGGCGCAGGCGCCGTCGAGCAGCCGACGCGCAACTGTTCTCAACGGTCAAAATACATTTTTGTTAATTTTTGGGCGAATTGTGACGATTAGCCCCTCCACCTGGCAGTATAACTCGTTTGCACAGACCGCATTAGTGTACCTTTCACGGATTTCTTTTTTCTAACCAATCTATGCGACTTAAAACAAAACACCCCGTATATTACGTGTTTATTACAAAAAAAAAAAAAAAAAAAGCCAAGTGATAAAAACTAAGATTGCCTACTTCTTCCGACGTCAGGCCTCCAAGCGCTCCTGCCATGCGGTGTTGGTTGCACTACCCCTTTCTCTTTCTCTCTCCCTCGCCCTCGCTAATGTCACGTGATAATTTTGCTGAAGCAAGCCGTGACCTTTTTTATATATTCTTTTTGAAAATCGTTAATTAACAATTTTTTTCCTTTTCTCGTTTTTTTTTCCTCCTGAGCCAACTGACCCCATTCAGCACCGGATGCAAGCAGTAAAAAAAAAAAAAAGAAAAAAAAAAGGGATGAAGCAATGATGCCATATTTAACGTCGCGAATGGTTCTGTGGTGTTTTGGTATCTAACGTTGGTTCGAACAGCTGGCAGCAACACAGATCAGAAGGTGGAAGATTCCCCGCGGGCACGGGTAGGTACCGTTCATACCTCGTGAGTCGAATCTCTTCTAATGCGTGCTGCTCAGCAGGCGAAATTTTGATACTCTGCAGGTGGCTACATCCTGTCCTACTACTAAAGACTTAAAGCTTATTACTTATCTTTCTGTAGAAGTGTTAGAAATCTACGTGTGTATACGGCAAGCGCGCTTCCAACACACTTCAGGTGCATTCACAGATAATTTTGTCGTACATGTATGCAGCGATACCGTGTTTTTCGTAAGGTGTAAAAGCTAGTGTGCGTGTGGCCTTTTCTTAGGTACCCAAACTAAACACATTTTCGGAATACCACCCAGGCTCTTACTCTTTCTGGTAGTTTATTCGTTATCCCTAATTTCAAAATAGATATGTACAAAATGTCAGATGCATCTTTATGCCAAAACCAACATCGATTTTTTTTTCCCGTGCTCTGCAGTGAAGTGCCGCCACATTATGTATAACTTGCAAGTCGAGCGGGCAGCCTAAAAAAAGAACAATAACCTGCGCGTTTTTCTTTCTCTTTTTTTTTTTTCTTGCTGGCGTAAATTTAATTGGCACTTATTTCAGGCCATCATTTTCCCTTTCTTCTTTTTTTTCTTTTGTAATCGTCGGGAACAAGCTGCAGTGCCCGTATGTTGCCCCATATAACATCTGTGGTCAGGTTCGCAATTTTACCAGCAGAGCCTCTCAGCAGCTCAGGCCAGAATTTTAAACTTCAATGTATCGCGAAAGAATAATTATTCTGACTTGTAACTTGGGTTGCTAGTCCAGATATGTATATTACTGTGTTGAGCTAATTTTCAGGCGAATTAGCAACTATTAAAATTTCGCCGGAGCTCCTTTTTTTTTTTAGAAAAGGATGTTTTTTTATTTTCTACGGACCTGGAAATATGCTTCTTCTTTTTATATAGTTCTATAAAGCTTAGTATTTCGTATAAACATAATCAACGAAACCGAAACTGAAGTTCGGCTTTCTCGCTCTACAGCCTCCCTGTAAACGGTCGGTTTCGGTAGAGTTTAGTAGATTTCATGAGCGTAGGTGGCGCGGTGAGCTGTAGCGGCGCTTTGTGGTTGTAGTCTTTTATCACATAGATTCAGTTGTCATGCACATGGTATCACATGGATTGAGCTACAACCATGAATAACGCTTTATAAAGTGTTCCTGAGAAGCGTGCTTGAATTCTGGCTCCGTAATGCAGCGATACATCATAATACAATTCGCACTTATTCAAAATCAAGCAGCCTTAATGTATTTAAACAAAATTACTTCAAAATCTTGGTAAACTAGGAGACAAATAAAAAAGAATTGAACGAAGCCATCAAAGGAGGAAATATATATATATATATTTATAAAAAAGACGTTATATATGTTCGTTCAGAAACAAATTTTCAAACGGGATTAATAAAGCTTGTACTTGATTTTGGGCTAGTTGGTTGTACATTGATAGACGTGCTCCGCTGCGAAGTTCTACAAAACAAACGCGTGACCAAAAAATGAAAGGAAAAGGATGAGTTTACATTGAGATGAGGAGAAACACAACGAACACGAATGGGCGCAGACTAACAACTGTTTATTCTTTTCTTTTTTTCTCCTTTTCTTTTCCAAACTCACGCATGGGGAAACTCATGGATTGAAAAGGAGAAAAAAGAAAAGAATAAACAGTTGTTAGTCTGCGCCCATTCGTGTTCGTTGTGTTTCTCCTCATCTCAATGTAAACTCATCCTTTTCCTTTCATTTTTTGGTCACGCGTTGGTTGTGTAGAACTTCGCAGCGGAGCACGTCTATCAAACGGGATGTTAACTGACCACTTGCTTGTCCCTTGCCTTTAGATTCCGGATTAGTTATTTCATCGACCAAGCTTTCTTTTCAGTTTGAAACGGGAAATAGATCTCTCGACCCTCCTTTCACATAACCGAAAGCACCATGAACGACGATAAAATCAGAGGACAGTATCTTCGGAAATTTCAGCCAAAGGAATATCAAGGAGTCATAAGTGTGCTTACTGGCCCTCACTCATTTTACCAGAAGGAACTTCACTCCATTTTCAACTCTCGTAAGTACAGTTGCATATCGACGTTCCCCCAAAATACGGTTGACGCAAAATATCGAAATTCATAAGAGCTGTAATGGCAACAAACGAAATTTTAGAATGGCATGATAGTTGCAATTTTCGTACTCTTATGGAAACCATCGAATATCTGCGCATATTTGGTAGCATAACATTTTTTAAACATTTTAACGTAGTAGGCACCTGCTTATGCACATCAAACTTTCGAAGCTGGACACACTTAGCGCGAACACAGCATCGGTCATTCTTCAGAGTTAGCTCTGATCAACATAATTTACTGTCAAAGTTAATGTTCCGGACGAACAATGTTCGCCACACTATGGTAGTTTTGATGTCACCTCTTTTTCACTTAGTAAACGGAGAACAAACCGGAATCTTCGGTGGTGGTCACCCTAGGCACTGCTTGGTGATTACTTTTAATGCGGTAGCGCATTAAAACTTCTCTATGCAGTGATGCATCACTAATATGGAAACCCCCGTTTCCCCCAAAAAAGCGTCCATAATGTGAGATGTTCATAATCACGACACAAAAATACATGTATTTACCCAGATTGTACACGCAAATGTTCTCTGTAAGCTTGGTCTTCGTCTTAATGGGATTTCTGATGACGAGATATCACTGTATTTTCCTAAATTTGCCTATCATCAAATCTTAGTGGACTTAAGATTATTGCGGAAATGTAACCAATTACTTCCATGATGACAACCCTGCTCCCTATACAGCGGTGTCGGACTCCTGGCGGACGCTTCTAGATGTTGGGTGCGGACCCACTGTTGCCAACGTCTTTCCGGCGACAAGGAAGATCGACAACATTGTTCTCGGTGACCTGGTACCCAGCAACCGGGAGGAAGTAGAGAAGTGGATTCTCAAGGCGCCAGATGCCATGGACTGGTCTTTCATGAGCGAACCACTGGCCATCCTGGAAGGATACAAGTGAGAAAGGGTCTTCATCTGTACACATCAGCCGTTGACGTGCGTGCGCGCTGGTTTTGTTGACGTTTGTCGCTGTACATTGGCTGTACCTTTAATCCCTCAATGGACCTTTCTCAAAACCTCTTCAAGCAACATTGTCGCCATTTTTTTGTTGAATTTTTCGGCTAGATGGCGCAAGCTACCGCCCGGTGTAATTAAAGGGTGCAGCCGTTAGCATCCATCCATCCATCCATTCAGCGCCAAGCGTGTGGTTCAATCCGAGCCCTCGCCAAACGCTGATGCAGCACGAGCGTCTGAAGTCGCTAGAGTGCCTGAAGACAGTCTTTTGTGTTCAGAGTGCATGCTCAGAGTACATGCTCAACAATAGCGGACTCGTATTATTGGAGCAGCAGCTTCTATAGATGGCACATCCTCCTAAAAGGTGCCTATTATAGAGGCGCTTTGAATTTGTTTTTATTCGTTTATTTTATGTATGCATTTATTTATTTAGGTGTTTATTCACTCTCAAGGTACGAACCACATTAGCATATTTGATTCTTATCTTTAAGTTGGATAGTTTTGCGTGAAAATAGCATTAGGGAGAATTTCCAAAAGATAGAAAATGAACAAAACGTGCTTGCCTTGTTAACAGGCTTGCCGCTATAGGCAAAGAGAACGGCTGCAAAAGACCGTGACATACGTGATTACGCATTTACGATATATTTTATAAGGAACAAATGTGCGATGTAGTGCATAAATGGCAGCACACAACTATTAGTCGGCTGTATTTATTTTTTTGTTTTTGTTTTTGTTTTGACCAGCTGTACACTTTGCAATGATGTCTCGGTAATAAAATCTCCTACGTTCCCGCCCCCTCCCCCCCCCCCCCCCCCCAAAAAAAAAAAAATAAAATCCATAATATAGGTTGTTTATAATAACTAGGTGAACATGCATGCATTTAACCATTTCGGGCCCGAAATTTTCATCTGTACAATGTGGTATTTATGTTAATTGAGTGCATATATATATATATATATATATATATATATATATATATATATATATATATATATATATATATATATAATTCCTTGCGCATAATTTTTAAACCGTTTGCGGGAAATAAATCTGACAACGTTATAAGTGACAATTTCTCATCAATAGCTCGTCAATTTAATCGCGCAAACAATACAAAACCTTCAGTCTCGTTGTACACCAGTTGGAAGAGTTGCAGGTCTGCCTGACAGGTGGCGCACGTGTGCCAACGAGGTTACAAGAGATCCCGACATACTCGGCACACTCGGCCCAGTCAAACGTATATGTGAAATGAGCTGTCCGAAAAAAAAAAAACAATAAAACCTGTGTACAAAAAAAAAAAAAGAAAAAAAAAAAGCGCGCGCGCTTTTAGGAAAATACAAGACAATGTGAACGTTGCGGCTCTCGCGTTTCCCTTTTGAGTGAGGACGTTAACCACGTAAACAACACTGCATTCCTCCTCGCCTCCTCGGTGTCGACTCCTCCCCTTTTTTTGTTTTCGGGAGGTTTGGGGCTGACAACGGCGGAGACCTTGACAACAGCCGTGCGAGTGACTGTACGAACCTATAGACGTTTTGCAGCAGCTGTACAATGCGCGCCGCCATAACTGACCTTCACTGTTTGCTTTCTCTTATTCCGTCTACTTCGCTTCATCATTACCATAGCAAGGCAAGCTATCGCCATATTTAGATTCTAATGCGTCTTTTTCCCGTGCATTCGCCTTTGTGGATGCTCGTCGACGACCGTTTCATTGGGTCTGTATCTCGGTAAGGCAACAGGTCTTTATTCTTTATTCCTTATTCAGGTAGCTCCTGCAGCGCCGTTGAGGCATTATTGCAGGGGGCGAACAACATAGAAAAAAACATTTCTGCATTTGCGGCACAAACAGTTTCAACACTTAAATTGTTCCAATCCCTAATGGACCTAACAAAGAAAGAATGTTTGCACAGTTCCGTCCTGGTGGAATATTCGCGTATTTTGTGGATATGATCTTTACGTTGAGAAATATAGTAAGGGGGTAGAAGGTAATGAAAACCATTAATACCAGTGTGTTTATTATAAATGCTATATAGAAATTTTAAGCGCAAATTTTTCCGCCTGAATTTCAGCAAATCCCAGCCTAATGTATTCTTCATGTCCGTGACGCTCGAAAAGCGGTCGTACAGCCCCAGGACGAAGCGTGCCGCACGATTTTGGATCCTCTCTAAAGAGTCTATGTGATTTTGCTGAGCAGGATCGCACACAGTGCAAGCATAATCTATAAGAGGTCGAACGTAGGTAAGGTATGCAAGTTCTTTTATTTTTTGTGTAGACCTTTTTAGATTACGCTGGATAAAACCGAGCAATGGCGGCTGCAATCTAGCTCGTGTAGCGTCGATATGAAGAGCACGATCCAAGCCTCTGTCAAAGGACGGAAGCAGAAAGCAAATTTACCCCCCCCCCCCCCCCAAAAAAAAAAAAAAAAAAAAACATTTGGAAGCGAAATGAGTTAGAGGGAAAAACTGCACTTCCGGTAGAGCAAATACCGTGCACGGCATTTTCTGTGTCCTGTTTTTGACAGCCCTTAAATTAGTCAAATTCATGGGCGATTACTTTTCTAATTCGCGGAACCGACCTAATGCAGGGATGCAAAAGAGGGAGCCAAGGACATCGAAGATAGGACACGCGCTGCCGTCAAGAAAGTGGTTCCATGCGACGTCCTGGACCCTAATGTCCTCCCCGAAGAACACAAGCAAGCTTTCGACGTGGTCACTTCGAGCCTTTGCCTCACGATCGCGAGTCGCGACCAAGAAACCTTCCGGAGGGTCGTTCGGAACGTGTCGGGTCTCGTTCGGAAGGGAGGGCACCTGATACTGTGCGACTTTACGGGATCCAGCGCCTACGCTGTCGCGGGAGTGAAATTTCCCATGCTCAGTCTCACCAAAGCCGCGTTGGAGGATGCACTGAGCAGATCGGGGCTCCAGGTGAACCGCTGGCGCTCGCTCGACATGCCCGCTGGCTCGGACATTCCCAACCATTGGGATTTCCAGTTTGTCCTTGTGGCAGAAAAACTCTGAAAGCCGAATTGTCGCGGCGCTCATACATCGTACAAAGAGGACGCGGAGTTTTTTTGCGGACATGAAGACAGAATATTTGCGGACACATCCCAGGCATGGCCGAAGCATGTTTCCTTCATAGATATGCGTGCTTCGAGCATGGCTGCAGAAAGTCTTTCTCATGGTGTATTTGCGGTGCGAGCGAGGTTTAACAGTGCCGTGAAGTGGAAGCTCGTGGTGGCGGGGAACAGATGCGATTTTTGAATCATTATAATGTTTTTCGAGGAATTCCTAATTTTAAAATTGTTGCGTTCGTCCGGTCGGGCGTGGACTTCCGCTCAATTTAGCGGAAAAATTGATGTCACGTGACAGAATCGGGAGTTTTTGTAGATCGTTTTCGTTGTCCCTCAAAGTTCCCCACAACCCGCTTTGAGATCCGGGACTCTGCAAGTAAAGCTGGCAACCGCGCATGCGCAATAACGGAGTGTTCGTTCTGGAGAGCGTAGCGGAGGTGGGAAAACAGTCTGCGAAAACACCCTAGGGCTGCGTGACATACAAACCAAGTGGAGAAAGTGCCGTAACGTGAAATATACGTCAATATTGACGTCGTCATGCTAACTGAAACGTGGTACAGTTGTAGTGCTGATTACTTTCTGCTTCCGCGATATTCTCATTTCAACCTAAATAGAAATGATAGGCTAGGCGGCGGTGTTGGTATGTTGATAAAAAAACGAAAGAAATTATGAGATATTAGAATCGTTCTGAGAAATTAATGATTTTTATGAGGCTGTAACTCTACGTTTCAAAAATGCGCTGCTCTCCGTTGTATATAGGCCACCCAATTCTCCAGTCATACCGTTTTTTTTAATTTTGTGGAGACATTGTTCAATTAATTCAATGATAACAATTACAAGTTAAATATGGGTGGTGACTTCAACATTGATATGGTTTCGAACTCTGGCCAAAAAATCTCTTTCTCAAACCTTATTGCTTCAAATGGGTTGTCAAATGTTATCACACATTCTACAAGAATAACAAATATGTCATCGTTTATGCTTGATTTGTTCATCACGAACTATGAAGAATCGATGGTATCATCAGGTCTTCTTTCTACTGATATCAGTGATCATCTTCCCACTTATTTTTGCTTGTACAGTGAGCACTCCCAGAAAAACCGCAGTGACCCTGTTCCAGTGGTTAAAGTTCAGTCTATCACCCCTGATCAATTGCGTAGTTTTTGAGAAGAAATTGAAAAGACATCTTCGGAACATATTTATTCAACAAAATCAGCAAATTCCTCATATAATTTATTCCTCAATACATTTAGTGCAATTTATAATAGACATTTTCCTTCTGTCAACCTCAAAGCATATAAGAAGTCACGTGGCCTTGGGTCACGCCAAAGCTACTCTCAATGATACGGGTTAAGACTAATTTATATCAAAATTGTTTAGGAACAAAAGAGATTGGCAAGCTTGAAGCCTTTAACAAATACCGCCACAAACTCACAAGTCTACTAAGAAATGCTAAGCGTGACTAGTACAATAAACTTTTCGATCCGTTAGAAACTAAGAAACCAGACGTTATGTGGAAGAGGATACGATCAGTACTGAATCATACGCCATTTCGAAACGTGCCCCATGAAATAAGAATAAACACCGTTAAAGTAACGAAAGTGAACATGGCAAATGCTTTCAATAATTTCTTTGTAAACGTTGGTACTTCTGGTGTGTCATCGTCCTGCGTAAACAAAGCTCCAGAGTTCACGTCAGTATCGTACACGGAATCAATGTTTTTATTCTCCGCGGATGAGTCAGAAGTTTCCTCGACCGTCATAAACCTTAAAAATAGCAAAAGCATCGACGCCGATAACACGCAGGTAAAACCTATAAAATACGTCATTGATATTATTGCACCATATTTAACATGCATATATAGCCTCGCATTAGAAACAGGCTATTCTACCCTACGAATGAAGGTATCAAAATTAGTGTTGTACATAAAGGTCGTGATAGGCTTGACGTAAATAACTATAGGCCCATCTCAATCCTTCCTGTCTTTTCTAAATCACTTGAAAAACTAATACACAAAAGACTCATAACGCATCTTGACAAGTATGCTTTAATTTCCGATGCGGAATTCGGTTTTCGTGAACATCGATTTACCGAATTGACTTTATTAAACCAGAAAGAACAAATTGTGAAAGCTTTTGACGAAAGAAAAATGACATTAGGCGTCTTTCTTGATTACTCAAAAGCCTTTGATTCCATCGATCATGATAATTTACTTGCCAAATTACCATTTTTTGGAATAAGAGGTGTAGCACTCGATCTCATAAAATCATACTTAATAAATAGAAACCAATGCGTGTCTTTCCCGAATTTTCATCCGGATAGGCTCTCCATCAAATCGGGTGTTCCCCAGGGTAGCATTTTAGGCCCATTGCTATTTATATTATACATAAACGACATTGTGCATGTGGCCAAAAGCGGTGATGTAAAGCTGGTAATTTTCGCTGACGATATAAGTATTTTTTTCTCCCATAAAAATCTTTGTGCTTCTATTGCTACAGTGCATGAAGTGCTACAACAAATCGCCGCCTAGACGCTTAACAACAAACTAAAATTAAACTGTAAAAAGACCAAAGCTATTTTGTTTAGGCCCAAAAATAAGAAAATAGATATCCTACCTCATCTTACAATAAACAATGAAGAAATTGAGTTAGTAGATTGTATTAAAACTCTGGGTGCATTGTTTTCTTTTGATATGAGCCGGAACGCACACATAGACTATGTGCAAGGAAAAATATCTAAAAATGTAGGCCTACTTACAAAATTTAAAAGTTTACTTTCTACTCGAATTAAATTAGCTATATATAATACATTAATTTGTTATCACTAAAATTACTGTAACCTGATATGGTGCACCACAACAAAAAGTAATTTGAATAAGTTGCATCTATTACAAAAGGAGGCAGTACGTGCAATTTCAGAAACTCCGTTTCTTCATCCCACTAAATCACCCTTTAAACCCCTAAATGTAAAAACCGTCGAGCAAATGTAGGCTTACAAGCTTCTGTCAACGTATCACAGGACTCTTCAGCACATTAATGTTCATTTTATTAAACTAGCCAACCTAAAACATCGCATCATTCTACGCAACCTAAGACAAAATGAGCCCTGGATGATTCGCCCAACGCGTACAAATTACCTAAATCGACGCTTCATTTCAGATTGTCCACCATGTTAAATAGTTTGTACAGAAAGGGTCGACATTTGGAATCACTAACACATAGGGAATTAAAAGGACTGACTTTTCTATGCGATTTTTAAATACTGCTGATATTTTTCGTTATGAATCGATGTATTATTTCATGTACGATTGAATCATTGCATTAATTAGTCGAGTTTTTTTTTCACTGGCCGGTGCATTTTTCGTCTATATGCTTACAACCAATCTAGTATTGTATAAATCAGGCTTTTGCATTGTTTTGTACTCGTCTCTGTACACTGTGTAGTTGTAGTCCAAATTTTAGTTGTTAAATTGTGTTTGAAACTGTCGCGAACTGCACGGGGGCTGGAACCTTCGTCAAGCTGCTCTTTAGCAGCTTTTTGTCCGAGTCCCTGTTGTCATGTAAAATGTGACAACAAATAAACTTGATCTGGTTTGATTTGATTTGATACATCAATTCAGTTTCCCCGCTATATGTAGCGGGAAATTGACGTCGTGTGGCCTAAACACCAATCCAGTTTCCCCGCTAAATACGGCGGGGAATATCGTGGTCACGTAACCAGATGTTACGTGATATATACGGCAATTTAGTTTCTCCGCGAAATTTAGCATTGAATTACACGGCACGTGACACGCCATTTCCCTCTCCCCATCCCTCTCCTCTCTTGACTCTCTTTCTTACACCCTCCTATGATATTCTCCTCATCCCTCCTTCTCCATGTACTTTCAATGCCCCACCTCTCCCTCCCTCTGCCTCCATCTCCTCTAAGGTAGCCTCACCTCCTTCTCTTAACCTACCCTTCCCGTCCTACAGTGCCCTCTCCCCTCCCCAGTTGCCTCCCTTCCCCCACCCACCTCCATACACACGTGACAGAAGAAAATTCATTTTCACCAAAGTTGATACGAATATATATGGCCCTTACTCTAGGAACGACTGTTTCTTATCTATCGAAGCAACTCAATCAATCTCTTCTTAATACTGCATTTCATGCAATGACTTAAAGGTCGCTGCCATTAGTTCTTCTTTACTCAGGCACAAGAAACAAGGGGGAGAGGAGTAGCTGAGAGCGCGCGGTGACGTCATATCGCCGAGCTCTGATTGGGTGGATTAGTGGAGAGACGCTGAGGCTAGCTGCCATTGTCTCTACGCACTTTTCCCTCCAATCAGAGCGAACAAGAAGGTCGCCTGCTCCTCGCGCAGTGTCTTGCTTTCGAATGACGGACGCCGGTGTTTGGCGTTCGGAAGCGTTCAAGCAGTGAGTAGGAACAAAGTCAGCTATAGCCTAATTGTCAACAAAGTACGCTAAGCCAACAATCATTCCAACCAGAGCTCGGTACCCGACACGTGTTCGCGGCTCCAACGACCTTTGCGGGTTGTCACTATCGGACAAATATGGCGGTCGAAAACAAGTCGTGCCGTTCCATGTGCCAGCTGAACGCACAGCCCTCGGGTGTGCGCAGGCAAGCATTGGACTCGAAATGGGTTGCCTCGATTTTTTATTCTCCATAGGTTTCATAGCTGCGAGGACGTGTTCGCATCAGCGCGCTTCCATCGGCTTGACCTTCTTCGGGGAAGCGACTGAAGCACCACCTGCTGTCCCTTTTCAGTTCTGATGAACGTTGATGAACGGCTAATGTCTGCTTCACGCTTTTGCGTAGGCTGCGTTCAGAGTGACCTGCGCAACACGCTGATACGACAGTAACGACGGAGTCACCGAGGCAACTGTTCCATCGCCGACAACCGCCGACAACATTTAATCGCGGAAGCAACAAGCGGCGAGCAGAAATCGCCAAATGATCAGTTCTGTCCAGTTAGTGCTTTTCCGCTAGGTGCTGTCCGCTTTGCTTGAATCGCGAATACTCCTTCTAGCATAAATATTCATTGTCGATAAGTTCCGAATAGAAATTCAGAAATCGACAATCGAAGGCGATGCCAAAAACAACATTCATATCTCCCCGAGTGTTCAAGTGGGGTCTAAAAAAACACTATGTCGCGCATTGTGTTCGTGATGGAATGAATGCTACGCCGGTATTTATTTCACAACATCAAGAATATCCTTTTAAAGGGCAGCTCTGCGCAATTTCGAAAATTTCGAGATATTGGCCGATTTTACTTTGAGAAGCACTCAAAAAGAGTCCACAATCCTTTGTTTCGCAAAAAAAAAAAAAAAATATTTTTCGTGCAATTTTACTCCAGCCATGATCGCAAACCGAAACCGAAACGGTGACAAAGCCGGACAACAGTGTATCTTCGGCATCACTAAGCATGTACACCCACGTGATATACAAGGGGTCACGTGATTTATCACGCGGACATGCGCTTCGCAGTCATCGTCGCGTCGTCTGCAAAGCACGTGCCATAGCACGTCAATACGCACTGAACACACACCGCGCTCAACAAGGCAATGGGTCTATCAGTGATCAACCCTCACGGCGCTGGCGCCACCCGTGCTCTCCCCGGAAAAAAAAAAAAAAAAAAAAAAAATTAAAAAAAAAAGAAGAAAAAAAAAGAAAAAAAAAATTTTGCATGCTTGATGACGTCGCGGACGTGCCGGGAGAAGGAATTTGGAGGAAGCGGAAATGCATCCGGGCAGAGTCCGCACGTCTCATCCAAAATCAGCGGATTCGTGCTTGTCAAACTTTGACAGCAATTTTAATGAACTTCTAGGCGGAATCCCGTCGTAATATTTGCCATGTGGGCTTTGTAGATGATAACAAAGAGAACTGTATAATTTTGCACTACTGAAAAAGAAGCGGAGTTGCCCTTCCCGTCAGGAGCAGGTTGTTGAACACAAAAGAGCTGTCGGGGCTTGTTCGGCAAAGTCAGAACGCGCGGGCACCTGAAAGAATGCAAGATTTGTTATAGAAAATGGGCACAAACAAAAGTGCTAAGCAAAGAAAAGGATCCATTCGAGAGGGCAGTAAAAGAAACACTTGGCATGACAAGCGCGGGCAATCGTATCAGCATACCCTCCTTGGACGAGTTTAGACAGTGTTTATGGGGTTGACAGGTGTGTTTCCGAAGTTGGAATGTGTTATCAGGCTCGTTTAAATAGAGCTGTTGCGTACATAAATCTTGCATCTGGGTTTTGAAACGTCGCTGTGTTATCCCCTTTTTTTCTTTTATCTTTATTTGTTCCCTTGTCTCGGTTTTGTAAGTATATAATATCGTTCACCAACTAACCTGCACCATTACCTTTACTTCATGTTGTACTGCCCAGATCACATTTGTCGTCACGTTTTCAATGCTGCCAGTAGGACCTTTCTGTAAAAAATAAAATAAAAATAAGGTCTAGGACCAATTGTGAAAACTCCTTAACTTCGTGATGTCGTTCGGATCTATAATTTAAGTTGCTGCGTGTCTGCTGATGTGTCGAACCAATTTTCAGGCAAATCAGCGATCACGAACATTTCGCCGGAGCTCCACTTTGAGGCTGCATTCACACTGACGTTCAAATCGCCACCGCGAAGCGGATCGGCTCCTTTTCATTGACAACTACGCGTGAAACTGCACTGAATCTTTACTTTAGACGACCGCGTTCGCAATCGCTTTACGATCGCGGTTCAACCGCCAGCGTGAATGAGGCATGAGAACGAGCTAAAAGCTCCGACTCCAGCACGAGCATTTTACCTTCGGTGACACTTTGGGAGCTCCGGTTGTCTCTGACTATTTTGTGTTCCAACATAGAAAAGGTTAGATAAGCCCATCCTACGAAGCTTCCTGCTCGCTACAATTGGTAGTTAACTCCTCTCCATTCGCCACGCGTAGGAAATTTCAGTAAACGTAGCATGAAAACGAATTTCACGTAAGGAAATGAAGCGTGCGCACAAACTTCTGTTTTTGACCAAAGCGATGCACCTCGGCTAAATGAGCATTTTGCATTTTCTTCTCATATCCTTTACGCCAGATATAAGCGTGAACGAGTTCACGTGAAAATTTAGCTTATCATTTCGGCTGACCCGTGCCAGGAAGAATCTGCACCGTCATTCACGTGTAAGTAACTTGGGCAGGCTTGCGACGCCAGATGCTTGCTTGATCGGGCTTTCGACAGGTAGCGCCATCTACATGATTCCTCTGGAACTTTGCGCGGTTCGCCCTGATTGTTAGGATGAGAGGCGCTGAATGTGGCTACTTCGAAAGAATCACATTCCGAAAGCGCAAACCATGGTGCCTCTCGAGTATTCCCAGGGTGGGAGGGGCCCTCGCTTTGGGGCATCCTCTGCGCTGAATCTGAGAGATATCAAACCGATCCCTGCGGCGGGGCTGTGCAGTTCATGGTTGCCATACAGTGACCGTCGTACCCGCTGTGAAGCACGTTCGCGACTAAAGCGCGGAACACATGTACGACGAAACCTTCCAATCCGACTTGCGGACTGCCGGAGTGACCTTGGGGGGCGAGGGTTTTCGTAGCACCGGAGAGCGTTGAAAGCCCTCGCCTCCGACCGTCGTATTGTGTGTTCGGACATCGGATTGGACGGAGTCGGATAGGTAAGTCGAGCACTGGAAGGGAGTTTTAGTAGTCACTGGCGTTTTTCCCAGGCCGTTCCACTGGCTGACCCGTTTCCCGGTTTTCTTCATTTCCATTAACTTACCAAGTGGCTGTTTCCAAAAATTCCCACTTGATCCAAGCATCCAATTCATTTTATTTTCTAATGGTTTTAAGTCTGCGGTGCCTAACGGCGGGAGCGGACTGAGGCATATTATTTTTATTTCTTCTTCTCTCGCCTCACATTATATCTGATTGTTGGGATAAGAGATGCTGAGTATGACTGCTTCGAAAGAATCACGTTCCAAAAGGGCATACCTACGAGTTTTTGGGGGAGTGCGCCTCCGGCAGGAACCTGCAGCGTGCAACTTATATGGCTTAAAATCAAGCACATTTGGTGTGGCGCACGACGCGTTTAACGCCGATTCTTCTGCATTTTCGAGTACCCGGGATGAGCGCTGCATGATTACCGCCGGACGACGCAGGCATTACGTGGCATCAAAAGCTTGATAAGTTGCTCGTCACCGGTGACAAGAACGACCGAGGCAAGGCGACACCCGCTTTTTGCGCTCCTCATCGATATAGGTTAGCGAGCTTCAAGGGGTTACGGAAGTCTGTTCCTCGCACGGTGAAGCTATTATCGCTCTATCGGACAGTCCTCGTTGATAAGCTGCTAGGTGCCTGATTGGAGCATGTAACGATTCTTTTGTTGCTGTCTTTTCCGGACTGGTCTTCAAAAGCCAGCAGCAGACGACGGTGTGGCGCAAACCAACGGTGTGCTAACTACACGGTTAACGCCGATTCTTCTGCACTTTCTAGGTAAGAATTTGCTTGATTTGTTTCGCTTTCATTTGTTTCACGCCTCGCTGGACTGTCTCATTACCCGAAATGTCGACGGTTCATTGCGTTACCTGTTTGATGTCGATTCCAGACAGGATAGCCAAAGTTTGAAGTGTGCTGAGTGCAGGAAGATATTAGGGAAATGCGTGGGGGTAACAAAGACTGTACTTAAAACATGGTCTAGCGAAAACCTGAGCATCTGGCTTGGCGTAACTTGCAAATCCCTCAAATGTCAGCAGGCAGCACCTTCGGCCACGTACTCTCAGGATATTGGTCAACGTAGCACAAGCGAAAGCTCGGGAGAACCAAATGTAGCACTCTTGATGAAGCATATTTTGGGCATGAGTACCAAATTGACACAAGTTCTAGATCGAATGAATAATTTCGAGGAGTCAATGGAGGAGCAGTCAAGAAAACATGACGGAATAATGGTGAAGTTGACTAACCACGAAAAAACAGTAGAAGGAATAAAACATTCTTTAGCAATAATGGGCAAGGACTATCGTAAACTTCTGGAGAAGGTTACCGTGCAGGAAAGGGAGTTAAAAGAGCTAAAGAAAAAATCCACAGAACTTGAAAGACAAGTTACGAAAAAAAGACACGGAGACCTCCGTTACATCAAAACAAATGAAACGCGTTACCGTTACCGTTAAAAAGTAATGCCCGTTACTTTTGCGTTATTCGATGAAATTATAATATAGCAGGTTTTATTCTTTTGACGTTAGAGGCACGCATAAGCACCATGTTTAAAGAAACACATTGTCTATCGAGAAAAAGTATATACCATATCTTTCTTACACTTTCACGTAAATACTCAAAAGAAAAATGCAAAAAAAAACTCCAATATTTGGAGGCTTGGTAGCTAGAGGCATGAAAAAAAATGAAAGTGTGATTTGTTTAAGTCTTGTGAAGAACATATAACGAGCAACGTAACTACCTTACAGATTACTTCAAATAAGTATCGTAAGTACGTTACCCGTTACTGTTTTTAGAAGAATAAAGAGTACGTCACAACGTTACCGGAAAAAGTAACTGTTTACAGATTACGCCGTTACTTGTGACTTGTTACAGACAACACTGCTTCCAACTGTATATGTATTCCGTAACAGTGCCGACCAGATGTGTACAGCCGAAGAAAAGTTTACTTGGGGAAATATTTAGACGCGAAAAGACATGAGTTTGCTGTCTTCAAAAACACAACTGCAACTCTTCTTTATTTCTTTTTCTTTGTAGTTACGGTTACATTTTGTGGTGGATAGTTCTCAGATACCCAAGACTACAGTACTTGGTGGTCACACGGCAGTCATTTTAGTGCTCAAATCAGGGGGATAACCATGCAATATTTTCTTTCGCTTATTTTCTGTGCTCTGATATTTTTAATCTTAAATTCCCGTAAAATCACTTTAAAAAGTGTGTCTTCTAAAAGGCCTGAAAGTGTTGCTTACATAATCCGTGTAGGTAGCTAGAAATACCTACCAGTCTCGTTGTTATTATATACTTGTATATACTTATTTTTGTATTGATGCTGTCTTATATAAACGTTTTCCAGAAATGAAACTGCATATACTCAACATCAAACGTGATTAATTACGCATACGCAGTTCACGTAACAAAAATACGTACAAGAAAAAAAATACAGCCAGGCAAAATAAACAGTGAAAAATATACGTATATCGAAAATATGACCAACGAAAATTAAATACACCTCAGAGGTGTAAATAAGGTAGGAAATTCACACTTTTAGAATTGTAAATGTAGCTTGATGAGACCGCTAGAAGAAAAATGCCTCAAAGATCACCCTAGGATCGTTCGCGATAAGTGAACAGTGACTACCCCCCCCCCCCCCCCGCCTCTCTCGCTCCTTTACTTCTGAAGAATGATGCAGCATATCGTCGCAAACGGTGGCGGCCGAGTTCAAGCTGTGAAAGGATGGGAGGCCGGAACGATGCGTAAGAGCGGTAAGAAGATAATGCCTTTAACGCGAGAATCTCGCTTTAAAGGCCTCATCTCCTTCTAAAGTCCCTTGACACTTCTTCTTACAAGTAACTACAACCAACCAGAACCAATACAAATGCCAAAGCACATTCCACTACAACAAAATGGCGTCATTAAGTTCAGTCGTCTGCTGTGGCGCACAGCAGACTGCGCCGCCATTCGCTTCCTAGAAGCTGCGCCGTCACGCAGTCGGCGCTTCAGAGAATGTCGCTACTTGTTGGAAGCTCTTCTCCAGGAACTTTATCACCTTCAAGGTTGATACGCCACGTGGCGTGAGAACCTGAAACTAGGCCGCCATGTCCCAGAAATCTGGCCATTTGTGAGGATCCGGGGAGGTGCGCAAGCATGTTACTGCCATCACTTCTTCGCACATTGTAGGCAAAAAAAAATCGCTCTTTTTAGGATTGAGTAAAGGCCCGTCGCAAACACGTTCCAGACACTGTAGTCACACCATAGAAAACAAGTCACGTGACGTCAGGCACCGCAAAACCGGATGAAGCTGCGGGACAGATGGCACGATACAGGGGAGACAAACGAGGACGGGTTGCACTCGAAAGACGGTTCCCGCAGGTGTTTCTCTGCATTGCGCCGATGTCGGGTGGAAATCGTCAGTTAAAACGACATCTGGCAGTGACACAGAGAAGGGGGTAGAAGAAAGCGCTCACGGTAGGTGCAGCTTATGTGTCGAAATGCACTTCTGTGCCACGGACCTTTCTATGGACTTCTACGCTATAGACTTCTATGACATGGAACTCTTCCGTGCCATGAAACCGCCGCCACACTGCTCACACATCATGCAAAGAGACACAGTCTCTCGCTGCAGACACAACGACAGAATTACTTGCGGACACGCCTCGAAGCATGAAGCGTGTTTGCGTCGGAGTTGCGTCGGACTGAAGTTGTCGCCGATATGACCGTGTGTTCGCGTATCAGTGGTGTAACAACAACACGAGATGACGTAAAAGTGTCGGGCATTGATGCCGCTGGTCGGGGGTCGGGCCGTGATTGGAGGGGGCGGGGTGTCGAAGGTTGACATTCAGCTTTACATTAAAAAGTTTAAGACCACTTGAGGGATTAGGCCTAATCGATCGACGTGCGGATAGTCATGTTGTATCGCTGGTCTGAACCGTAGCTCCTATCGTACAGTGGCCAATGTGACTGTCGGTTGTCTCCTCCCCGAGAGCGAGTGCGCTCTGGGGAAAAGACTGAACAATATGAAAATATCGCGGAAAATACGTATATTTATAGTTTGGAATTTTAGCATTAAGTAAAAATAGTAGGTAAAATCGAAAACATAAAAAAGCTATCCTTTATTTTGTTGTTCAAATATACAATACGGTTCCCGAAGAAACTTCCCTCCAAGTGGCGCGCTGGGATGAGCGCGAGAAGTTTTCGAGCTCGCCATGGCGTAGCTCCACAGGTTTTTTTAGCTACCTCAACTAACTATATGTTCTGACTCCCCGGCCTTTGCGCTTTCCGGTATGCTATTTAGTATCGCGAAATTCATATTAGTTATTCTGAAATCGACAAATAAATATAATGCAAAAACCAACATTCAAATATACCCGCACTTTTCAGTGCCGTGACGAGGCTTGCCAGTCGAGCAAGCAGTTTTTAAAATATAATATGCTATACTTTGTTTCAGCTTCAGTCCGAGCGCGGCCGATGTTATGAGCCGAAGGGCCAACCAAACAGCGAAAGAGGCACAACGTCATGGCGTGCTCTCTGCAGTTGATAGGACCAGCCGGTATTCGCCGCTTCTCTGTGCGTTCTCCTCCGCCGGCTAGTCAAGCGCAGAGAGCACGCCATGACGCTGCGCTTTTTGCGTTGTTTCATTCGCCCTTCGGCTCGTAACATCAGCCGCGCTCGGACCTAAGGTGAAATGAAGTATAGTCATTTGTTGCGTGCTGGAGTGCGGGGACTGGAGCGAGCTTCCAAGGCATTCATTTGACACCATGAAACTGCTTCGAATCAGTTGGGAACAAATTCTACAGTCCAAAGAGTGAACCCCTGCACTTCCAATGACGTCACTCTTTCGTTGTTGCCAGTAGAAACTTTCAGCTTGAAAAAAAAAAAAAAAAAAAAAAAGCACGGTGAGGACCGAAACTGCAAATGCAATAACTTTGCGAAAAAACGATATTTTGACCTACTATTTGGGATACTATATTAGTGATGTTTGTTGGTGAGTTTAGCGACATTTCGAGCAAATCGGAGACAATGAAAAAACCTGTGGAGTACCCCTTTAACACCTGCCGCGAGTCGGCTCTTAATGCATTCAAGTTGATCGAAAAGCGATTTCTCTGCCCGTGAAGCATCACTTCCCGCTGAGTGAATATCCGCTCTCCAGAGATCAATTGAAGGCGACAATTGCAGCCGTGCGCGAACAGCTCAAATAGAAAAGAAACACTATATTAAAAATACTGGCTACGACGGGCCGTGCGGGGAAGAAAACATAGGGCTTGGAATCGCATTGAAGCGGCTTGATTTATTGGCTTTCAAATAATTACGGCATGAGCGTTTGCTTTTTACTAAGAGATTCATCCTAGATACTTGTATTTACTAGCTCTCTCAACCGTAATATTCTGTATCTTCAGCCTCTCAACTCCATCGTTGTCATACGCAGACACGTCAATGGGGACGTGACTGCGTATCACCGGAGCGGGCCTCTACTCCCAAGAGGTATCGGGTTTTCGCTGCGTCATGCTGCAATGTGTGCTTGCGTTGTGCTTGCATCCGTCCCGCATTTCGAAGCCGTCGGCACGCAATATGGGGCTTATCATTCCTTTTTTGCCAAGTTGCAACGAGACTGGGTATGACCGCATGCTCTCGCTCTGCCGGCGCTGCCTGGCTGTTGCTGGCTAAAACGACCAAGTGGAATGGACCTTTTTCCAGTAAGGAGTGCCTCCTGACGGTTTCGCCGCCTACTACAAATGGAGGGCAACCGGACTCGCCTTCTCCCATAGGAACAGATTAGTGTCGCAAGAAAACAGTGCCCCCCCAAAAATGGCGAAAGGGCGGTCAAGGTCAAGGAAAAAGGGTGTGCGCGTGCGCAGACGCTTACTGGAAAAAGGTCCATTCGCTGTGAGTTTTCCGGCGCTTCGTCCTAACCTTAATTTGTTGTTCCTCTCACTTAAAAGACCCTTTGTATACCCTAAAACTATTAATTAGGTTGGGATGTGGAACAATGCTGGTCGAAGCGCGAAGAGGGTGGGATGGGGACAGTGGGGGCTTTTGGCATGCGGGGAATAGGGTAACTGAAGGCGGGGTTTTCGAAACGTGGGGCTAATGACGCGGGGCTTTTGCGAGAAAGATTCTGTACGCAGGGCAATCGTGCTACATCCCTCGAAACATGTATTGGACACGAGGGCTGCGTCATATATCGGCGAGAACTCGGATCTAATAAAACGCCTCGTGCCCAAGAAATGGTGGTCGTTGCCTGATGGAGTTTTTAAAGGGGCCTACCATTAAACCGATCCGTTTCTCTTTTCAGGTTAAAACAGAGAGGTTCATCTCTCGACGCTATTTTGACGGGACACATAAACAAGCGACATGAGCAGCGAGAAAATCAGGGAACAGTATCTTCGGGACTTCGAGCCCAGGGAATATCCGGGGGCCATGAGAGCGCTTACCGGCGTCCACCCGTTTTTCCAGAGGGAGCTTCACTCCATTTTCAATTCTCGTGAGTATACGTGTAAAGATATCGCCGCAAACGAAAAAAGGCTCGTGACGAGCGTACACTGAAAATAAGAGTGGTTTAATCGGCACACTTGTGCCAGAAACGAAAAAAAAATATATAAGCGTCGAAACAGGAGCAGAGAACGTGGCGGCGTCAGCGGTGGGACAGGTGGCTGGAGCAAGAAGGAATCAACAGTGCCGCGATGGCCTCGGTATCTCGAATATTCTGGGACAAATATTTGAGATACTGAGGGCAATAGATAAGAAGCTTATCTATTTCCCTCAGTATCTCAAATATTTGGCCTAGAATATTCGAGATACCGAGGGCAAAACTGACTCGGCACGGTCATTCTGGCCTTTTTTTATCTCTTGAAAAACTTTTGAGGGAAAGCAAGGCTGGGGAGGGAGGAAGCAGACGAAACGCTGAAGAGTGGAGGAGGAGGTTTCCTTCTTTCTTTTCTAGCATTTCCTATACTTCCTCCTCCCCAAACTTTCTTTTCCTCCAAAACATTTTTTTTTACCTGTAGTGCCTCCTCCTCGGTCATGCACGCGGCAATATTTAACTTCATCCCCAAAATCCGATTGACGCCAAAGATCCAGATTCATTTAAACTGTAATGAAAAACAACGCAAATTTTACAATTCCACCAGAGCTTCTGCACTCCAATAAATCTTAAGCAACTCCTTTCCGGCGAAGCAGAGAGGAGAGCCAATCACTGCAATACCTCGGAAGGAGAATAACCAGTGGTGAGGGTCATACGACTTGCAAAAACTAAAAGGTCGGAGTTTTTGTAGCGCAAAATGGTTGGGCCGCAAGGTAATGCGCGCGCCGCAGTCAAATTCAAACTACGCGTTTCTTGAGTGGTAATCGAAGGCAGTGGCGGATTCGGAAGGGCGGAGGGGATCCAGATGTTCTCGCACATCTCTTGTAGAAATTTAGGGCGGTGAAAGGAAGGGGCGGGGGGAGGTTCTAAAACATCTGCTATGTTGACCTCCTCACACCCTTTTCCCCCCCACCCCCTGGAAGCCCCCCCACTCCCTTCCCCCTGAGTTTTTCACGGAAATGGTCGCAAATATTGGACAAAGTCCGGTCGCCACAGAGTAGCTGTACTCTCGCTGACGAGCTGTGTAAAACAACACATTTATAAGGCACTTATTTGTGTCGGTCTTATAGCCGCCACTATTAGCCCCGAGAAGTTCGCGTGGCGCCCCCTTACGGCAAACCGGGGTGACGTCACGGCGAGGAGAGACCTTTTCCCCGGCTCGCCCCGCTTGCCCTGTGGAGGCTGTGACGACGCCAGCTGTCGGCGCGCTCGTTTCTATTTATTTTTTTTTTTTGGCGTGTTTTTCGTTAGAAGTGTACATTTTTTTTGTGCCTTTATTGAGGTATGGCCTCTAGCTACATGCGAAACTTCAACCAACATTTTAAGCATGGTTGACAGGGCAGGCAACGCATGAATCGCAGCTGGTATATGAAAATAAAGAAATATGGCCACAATCGCAGGAGCATCACTATGGATTTACATCTCGCACAATCAATGCTGCTGATGGTCTGAATGAATTGGCAGGTTATGTATACTATTTTTTGTTTTGTATTTCCGTTTTTAAACAAGATCGCCGAAGCAGAAAAGCTGCATGCTGCTCGGGCAACATGCTAAATACAGTCTGGGCCATGGGGAGAGAACCACAAGTAAGGCAGTCCAAGTGCGGGGGCAAAGTAAAAAAAAATAAGGAATATTTATTATATACATTGCTCGCATTCGACCTTTGCTGGATTCCGATAGTACTTCAATGGACTACACGGGTGATATCCGTGGACTCGTTTATATCAACCCTCAAGTAATGTATAACAAACGTAAGCGAACGTGTCTAGCTCGTTATTAGTCCGTTAAGCCCTAAAATTGAGATTTTACTTAAATCGAATCGTCCTGAAGCTAAAATACCAGAACCTCTTCTCATGCAGACTGTCGCCCTACATGGGTTCCACATTTTTGTGCTACTAGTGCTGCAACTACCACTGGACAGACGTTTGAATGATTGCTTTTACTCCTGTTTTCCTCTGTTGTCAGAGAGTCCAGCTGTAGGGAGTTTGGAGGCTGAGGAAGCTTTTTAAGACCTGCTGCAGTGTCTCTTTTAATTGGAAATGACAATTCAGACTAAACGGTGTATTTTCCGAATACCCAAGGCTGGAATAAAAATGTCAGGAAAAAGTTTAAACATTCCAAATTACGGCTTTATTGCTGTGCATATTTTGGGCAGTTCAATACATATCATACAGGCAACTGGGGCAGTTCGGCCGTTTTTGCTGCTACCCTACAAACTAATTTCCGGTAATTGTGCATCTTCTAAAAAATGTGCCTGCATACGTGTATAAACTATATAATTAATTTACGAAGAAGCTACATTTATGTAAAACAACCCTGTTTCATGAGCACTTCAAAGATAATCAAACACAGGGCCTTTAAAACATCTGCGAACCACCGTATGCAGAGCGGCAGCGCAAAGTCGGAGTCCCGAGCTAATTTGCCGACCACCCAAAGGCCCATGATATAAATGCCACTTCAAATGCCTTGAAAGCGGGATGTAATATCGTCCTAAATCATGAACATGCAAGGGACAGAATTCCAGCGTCTGAAACAGTTGCGCCACCGCTCCACCGATCCTTCCCAAAATTGCCTTGTGTCGTGTGGACGGGCTGGGAGGTTCATCGGCGGAATTGCCTCCGCCGATAGCTTTCGGGATTTGTAACCCCATATTAAAGGTAAAGGGGACAAGTAGGCATATAAAATGTACAGAAGCACGTCAATATCGGCCAAACTCAACGTCTCGTATGCCGGGTAAACGAAGTCCAGCTCCTCGAAGAGCTTGCGGCACACAACGCCAAACCAGGAAACCGGTGCTGTGGGAAGCGAGCCGATGCAAAATCGCGGAGCGGAGTCCTTCCCCTGACGTCACGGTACGCCTCACCCAATCAGGGCGCGGCGACCGCAGCGACGCTTGTGTTCGCTCTCGGGGCTAATAGGTGACATTCACTTGACGTCACTCGCTAGGTTCGCTGGCATCGCCCACCACGGTCGCCATCTTCGAGGTCTCTTGCTATCGCGAATGCCATCTGGCCGGACCTTTTGAGCGTGGTTTAGCAGTATTTTACAACTTTAAAAGGTCTTTTTGATCGAAACTAGGGGTTATTCTTATACTTTGGTGCTTTTGAAGCGCCGTGGGAGTATTTTTTGTGTGTTTTAGTTCGTTTTTGTCGCTATCGGACTCGTTTACCGCGGCCGCGTTGCTCCCTCGGCTCCATGAAGCGCTCCGTGTTGCCCGCCGTGCCGACGGCGGTAGCTCTTGCAAGAACTAATTTTTCTACTTTGATGCTTTTGTAGCACGGTGTGATTACTCTTTGTTTTGTTTTGCTAGTTTCTTTATTGTTTTTCTCTAGCGGATTTTCTGTACTACGGCCGTGTAACCGTGTTGCTCCATCGCCGCTGTGTCGTACATACGTCGTGCCTTCTGTGTTCGTTCCTGTGCAGAAACATACCGTGCGGCTCACAGAGTGCGCAGCTTATGAAAAATGCGGCGCATTTTTCATTAGCCCAAGCGATTTAAAAACCGCATGTTAGCGATTTGGCGAGCGGGAAGACAAGCGACGGCGACCCGCTTCGCTGCCGCTGGGTCATTCGCGCGACGAGGCAAACCGCGTGAAAGCGACGGGAGCACACGACCAAGGCGATGAGCGCTAAGTTTTCTAGAAATCCCAAAACCGAGCTATGCGACGAGTGACAGTGAAGGGTGAACCGCATGTAAGCGATTTAGCGAGCGATGGCGACAGCGACGGGAGTCGGCGACGAGCGACGGAGAGTTCTCGCGGTCGGTCGTCGCGTCGCTCGGTTTTTGGATTTCTAGAAAGGGTCGCTTATCGCCTTGGTCGCTTGCTCCCGTCGCTTTCATGCGGTTTGCCACGTCGGGCGAGTGACCGAGCGATAGCGAAGCGGGTCGTCGTCGCTTGTCTCGTCGCTGTCGCTCGTCTCGTCCCGTCGCTGTCGCTCGTCTCGTCCCGTCGCTGTCGCTCGTCTCGTCCCGTCGCTCGTCAAATTGCTTCCATGCGGTTCAGCCTTTACACGGTACTTGGCGGCAACAAAGAAAACGGCCCGGCCCCGAGACCAACTTTTCCTCTCTCTTCTGTTCTACGAAGCTTCAACGATATGAAATTAGCACACACTAGCAGCGGACGACCGCGTCCCGAGACCTCGAAGATGGCGGATCGACGGTGGCGCTCCCTGGCAAAATCGAACCTGCAGGCTCCGTGAATACCACCTATACTCCAGTCGGAGAAATGGTCTCGAAAGGCGATAGCGCATTTTCACATGACGACATGCCACTTTTTTTTTTTTTTTTTTTTTCAAATTTGGTGAATGTATTTTGAGGTCGGGGGGTGTACAGTACAAGAACATGCTCAAAGAATTTTCTTCAAGTAAAGTACAAGTTTTGTTTTATAAACCTACTTAAAGTAGTACATTAAGTACCATGTACTTAATATAGTTTCCGACACCGCTTGTTTATAATTTTTTTATGTCAAAACGGTGGAGCAATTACTAAGGTCTCTCGAACGGTTTTCGAATCTTGGAAGCCCTACATAGCCCGAATTTAAGGAGGAAAGACAACGCAAAGCGGTCACCTTTGTGTTGCCCTTTGTGTTGCCCTTTGTGTGGCCCTACCGGAGCACCAGGTGAGCTTCAGTGGGGGGGGGGGGGGGGGGGGGGGGGGGGTGCTGCGTTCTGTTGCCTCCTTTGATTGAGGATGCAGTATGTACACCTCCTGTAGCGGACAAGAGTTGCTACGTTGGGGGAAAGCGAGGACAAGCCCTTTCTTCGAATGTGTCAAGACTCCTTTAGCTTCAGGACACAACGAAGCGCCAGTCTTCGGCTCTAAAGGCTGGTTCACACAGCCTCGGTTCCTTACGTTACGTTACGTATAGCTTACGTACAAGCCACTGGAATATCTGTGCTTCATATCAAGCGTGGCTACCAATTCAAGGAGATCGCCTGGCACGCGACATTCGTGACACGAATGTCTCAGTGACTTCGACGTAACGTAAGAAAACGGTGCTGTGTGAAAAGTTGAACCGAGCTGAATTCCTTACGTTACGTTACGGCGAGCTTTGTGTCCTTGGTTGCCACGGTAACTCACCGTCCCAGCTCGTTGTCACCGAACCCTTCGCGTTTAGAATGTCGCGTGCCAGGCTACCTCCTGGAATAGGTAACCACGCCTAATACGAAGCACAGATTTCCCGGCGACTTGGACATAAGCTTTCGCAGCGTAACGTAACGTAAGAAAACGGGTCTATGTGAACCAGCCTTCATCCCGCAGTTACTCGGCCTCACTTGCGAAGTGTCTGTCTGCTTCCCGCTCCTTGAAGCAGAGTTGTTGGAGGGGGGGGGGGGGGTTGTGAAAACTTTAGTGGGCTTTGGACCTTCCAGTCCACCTCCCCCACCCCACTGCCTAAGGTACATGCTTCCCCGTCTTTGCAAATATTAGCTCATCTTTCAGGATCTTATCTCTTTTTTGCAGGATCGCTAATAAGCAAACCTAGCACTAAAATTAAAGTAATTCGTTATTTGAGTACAAGTTCCTCGAAAAAGCTAATTGAAGTAAACTACTAATTACCGAAATAAAATGCAATTTAATGCCAACTCCTTCCTCTTTCTACAGCGGTGTCTGACTCCTGGCGAACACTTCTGGATATTGGGTGTGGACCCAATGTCGGCAACGTCTTCCCGGCGTCAAGAAAGATCCGAAGCATTGTTTTAAGTGACCTGCTTCCCAGAAGTCGACAGGAGGTAGAGAAGTGGATCCAGAAAGCAGATGACGCCATGAACTGGTCCTTCATAAGCGAACCATTGGCCATCTTGGAAGGGTGCATGTAAGAAGGAGCTTTCATAGAACCGTATATTAGCCGCTAACCCTTTAATGGTTGCATACTTTGAAAGTGTCCATGCAAATCATACAATTTTGCGTTTTTGCAACTATTGGTATTGAGTTGAGATCCAGGATTTTTTTCTTTGCTTTCAAAAATGTAGTTCATTAATTACAGAATGTCCACTACAGCAGACAGCATGCATAGGGGCTTTTGATACATAATCATAACTTTCAAAAAAAAAAAAAAACTTATCGTTTTTCTTTTTCGGTGGTGGAGACTGGGGTCCCGTGTCGCGATCCTCTTCATCACTGTCATCACTTTGGCTGGCATGTTCCCAGCAATCATCACACCTGAATTGATCATCCTCTATGGGATAATCGATGTCATCATCCCCGCTCTCTAAAAGATCATCATCACTTCCTGACGGCAGTCCGTCTTCAAGTACGACACTGATTTCTGAGTCAGGGGAATATCTTATGAAGTATCGATGGCTGCTTCTCTCTAAGGTGATTTGGTAGCAGATCATTTTTCTTTAAAACAAAAATTACAAAATATAGTTTTTTTTCTCGGAATATGTGGAATTATGGCGCATTATTCATTGCAACAGAAAATTGGGTCATTCCAGTATATTTAAAGCGCGGCTGGCCAAATACAATTTGTGCATAGCTCATGGCCCCATAATGCTGCTGCTCATGATGTCCACCAGAGTGGACAAGCCACAAATAGATCACCTACTGAAGAATGAAGACTTATTTGACACTCATATTTATAAAGATTACACCTCAAGACTTACTCGAAGGCATGAAAACGCTTAACAGGGGAGTACTAAGATTTTGCAACAGTTTACGACGCTTTTGCCAGGATGCTCGTGCTTTACCTGGAAATTCTGGAAGCTGGTATCTTGGATGCTGAATACGTCCACACCAGTAGAATTGTGGCGCCATCTATGAGTAGCAATCGCACACACATATGTCCACTGAAGTGGACACCATGCGTACGGGTATTATGTCGCCTGGCAATTTATTTAAAACAAATATTTAACTTTGTCCACTGCACTGGCCACTATACAACAAAGGGTTTTCACATGCCGCTCGCTGTTTTTGATGGCGTTGCTTACTGGAAAAAAAAGGGGGGGGGGGGGGGGGGGGGGAAGGTGCGATCGGTAATTAAGTGTGTTAGGGTGCGATCGGTAACCAAGTGTGTTAACTCACCATAGCTTAGATCACGTGAAATGAAAGCTTGCGCCCGCAGAACCCAGGGATGACCCTGGCCTTAATTCCCACTCCTATCCGTTTAGATGTGAATGGGCATCGTACAGGGGTGCGGCCGTGTATCACTATAGGGTGTGATGCATACTAACGACACCAGGCTAGCGGTGGTACTGCACTTGCTAAATTTCTTATTCACAGCGTAAACCTGTCGCGTCAAATTCGGTTTGGCTTTTATGTCCCCCGTGTTTTTACTGCATTTTTAGTTCCGGTAGAGGCAGCTTTCATAGTATTCATTTCACACCATCAAACACGTAATCCGCTGGGAACGAGCCGTACAACCCAAATAGCAGCGTTTAAAAAGTCAAGTTCTTTCTTTCGGAAAGTTTTAGTTTAGACAAATTTTTTGGATTACTTTTTAGAGATGGACGTACACTTCGCGCTTTCCACTTTTGGCCGCCTCCTCCTTTCCCGTATCCTCTCCACTTATTGCCTTGCCCAACTTAGCTCCCCTCGCACTCACGAGGGGGGAGCGCTAAGAAGATTATCATCCATGCAGAAATCCTAGGGGGTACGTCGGCCTTTAAGCCGTTTCTATTGGTGTATTAAAGGGATTTCGAAGCAAATCAGCTGCTATAAAATTTTATCTGGAGCTCCCCTTTAATGACAGCGCAAAGAGGTATTTGCCGGCTGTTTTATGCCCCGCACTGCATTATACTCGGTTACAAAGTTTCCGTGGCGATGCAGGCAAAGGCGCGCTTGAGAGATGATCAAAGCTACGCAGGCGAACTCTCCCTGTCTTCGAGAATGTTACAGAACGTCGCTTCCGAGTATAGTAAAAGCTGGTTCACACCTTTGCGTTTGACTGTGTTTGACCGCGCTACGACCGCATGTGATGCGACTTTGCGACGACAAACTACACTGGCAGGTGGCGCCATCTCTCAGATAGCCCTGAAAACCTTTCGATTTTCGTCTGCCTAGATCGAGGTTTTCGCAGCATTTGCATGAGCAAAGCTATGCACTATCTATAGGAATTGATTTCTTATAACGCTGTCAGAATTATTTTGAACTCCTTGGGAAATAAGCATACGTAAAATGCACGCAGATGTGAAGTGTTCCAGCATTACCCGATAGATGGCACCAGTGTGTTATCTCGTCGTTAACCGTCCCAATCGAGCCCCGGGCCACCTGTAGACACCGCATCTGGAATCGCGTGGCCAAAAGCACAGAACGACAAGAAACCGCCTTCGAACTCACACAAGGTTGTCGACTCCTATGACAATAAAGACTCTCCAGACAAGAACTATAACAAAGAAAGCAGGTCATAGACTCGCTCCTCGACTACGCCAGGTCAACAAGGCGGACACAACACAACGCCCCATCCAACCTCCCATTTCCCGTCCCCTCCAGATAAGGGGGCCGTGAAGCTATCTTCTATTTCCTTTCCTCTCAATCAAACGCCGGCCATAGGACGCGACTTCGTCCACACTTCGTATATCACTCCTCGCGGAATATACGCAGAGGTGTAGAGAAGTCGAAAAGCGACATTTCGTCTGCTACAGGACCATCGACGGCATCATCTGCTACATAATTAAAAATGCCGTTTCGCGTCCTGGAATAAAACCAATAATGTAGCATGCAGAGATTTTTTTAGGGAATTTTCGGCCTAGATTTAGGCAAAAAGGGAAAAGGGGATCTCGAGATTGCAGGAAATTTCAATAATTGGGGAGGGAATTTGGAAAAAAACGTTTAAAAGGAAGAAATATTGAGAAAATAAATTCTTGTGGTAAACTTCCGTTCATGTTGACGTGGTCGAGGCAAAGCACACCCCACTGTGGCTGGCTATGGTGGTGTTCTGTTCGAGTAACGGCCACTATGGGTGGTACGCCGGCAAAGGCAAACACTTTCGTTGATCGTTGCTTCCTGGTCAGGTGTTCTGGATTTCACGAGTGCTGACCATGGAATTGGATAACAGCGCCGGACAGTCCGATCCAAAACGGACAAGATCAAGAAGGAAAAGTTACGTCAAGTCATTTCGCTCCGATTGGTTCAGCTTGCCAGAATTCAAGGGATGGCTAGAGGAGCGCACCACTACTGAAGCCAAGTGCAAAGCCTGCGGGGCGATCATCAAGTGCGGGAAATGTTACGTTTACAAGCACAGCAGAACGGCTAAGCATCAAGCAGCTGCAAAAGCCGTCAATGATACCGCTTCGGTAACTAAGCTTTTCCATAAAGTCTGCGCTGACAACGAACCCGTGAACATTGCAGAGGTCAAAATGGCAGCCTTTTTTTGCAGCGCACAACGTTGTATTCGAAACAGTGGACCATCTGAAGGCAGGTTCACACTCTTGTGACCTCTTAGAACTGGGTGCCTTGAAACCTCTTACAACGAGAGGACACACTGGCGCCATCTATTGGGTATCCGTGTAAACTTGGCGGTCCGGATATTTTCTATTTCTCTCGCGCATTATCCTTTCTTTTTTGGCTCAAAAAAACTTTTGCCAACTTTATAAACGAGCCTTTCTTATAGGTATTACGCACAATTGACCTCGGAAATCCCACAAAACCTTCGCTCTTGTGAGATACAGTTCCCGGGTCACCGTATAGATGGTGCCAGAATGCCAGTGTGTTCCCTCGTCCTAAGAAACTTTAAGAGGTTTCACCAGATCTCGTCTCTCTCGGTCGTACTCGGTTGCAGGAGTGTGAAGGATGTCCAGCAACTTGGCGAGGAAAGCGTCGAGCTTGAAGCCCACATAATCACACGAAAAAAAAACAATCTCGGAAAGACGTGTAGCAGTCGGATCAGTGTAGCCAGAAGGTAGGCGTTTTTCGTCGAAGCATAATCATTACTATATTATAAAGAACGTTGAGCGTCATTTATTTCATTTATTTTTGGTAATTAGTTCTTAATAGGACAAAGCATAAAAATTGCGCAATGTTTGCACACAAAGTATTTCTAAAATTTTACTTTTGCGAACTACTTTGTGATGCGTACGTACGCTCTTTTATAAGTGGTGAACCGTCCCCGGGCTTCGGCTGCGCTCGGAGCCAAGCAGAAACGAAGTATAGTATTAAGCGGTCGTAGTTGATCAGTCAAACGCATCTCTGTGAACCAGCATTTTGTGGATAGGCGAGCATGTTGTTTTCTATGCCCCTCCTTCGTTTTCGTAGAATTTCGAGTTCATACAAGATTGTTTTTCTAACCCGAGAAACTGACCACGCAGGGACGCGAAAAGTGGAGCCGAAGACATCGAAGAAAGGACACGCGCGGCCATCAAGAAGGTCATCCCGTGCAACGTCCTGGACCCGAGCGTCCTCCCCGAAGAGCACGATGAACGTTTCGACGTAGTTTTGTCGAGCCTCTGCTTCGCGACCGCAAGTCGCGACGAAGAAACCTTTCGAAGAGTCATGCGGAACGTCTCGCGTCTGATTCGCGACGGAGGGCACCTGATATTTTGCGGCATTGCCGGATCGACCGAGTACACCGTCGCGGGCATCAAATTTCCCGAGCTCAGCTTGACCAAAGCCATGGTGGAGGACGCATTGAGCGGAGCGGGGCTTCAGGTGACACGCTGGAGTTCTGTCGACAAGCCCGTCTTGTCGGACAGTCCGAAACATTGGGATTTCGCGTTTGTCGTCCTCGCCGAAAAGTCTTAAACCACCAATCCTGAAGGGGACGCTGGCGGCGGACAACCGATTGACCATGTCCTCCCTAATGCTCCTGAATAAAAAAGGTAGCGCCATCTTCTCCCTCCTCCTCTGACGCGCACACCTTTTATCTTTGTGTTTTGCTTTTTCACACCCGCGCGTCGACGGCAGCGTCACCTGGATCGGCCCAAGATAGCAGACGACCTTCCTATATTTGAGTCAGAGCGCAGTCAAAAGCTGAAAGACACGCAAAATATACACACACAGGCTAAAAGCGCACTGTCACGGTCTACCAGCCTCGAAGGATGTGCTCAAAGAAAGATGAAAGTCATGGCGTTGCACGTTCGGTGTTATTTGATTGGCCACATGAGCTCATAGCATGCACTGCACTCCGACAGCATAAGCATTCCTCGTCCCTCCTCCTCTGACGCGCACACATGGAATTGCTTTTGAACCCTGCCTCTATCCCATGCTTCGCAACTGAGAATCCACACAAACTTCGAACGTTAAAATACAAACAACGTAAGTTTCCTTTCTTCTTTAAGCGTGACAACCTACTTTTTCGTTTCAAGAAAAAGAAAATATCGCTTTCGATTGTGTCTCAAGTTTCGCGCTGTTTGTTTTTTCCCCCCAGAATGCCCGGTCTGATTAGCAGTCAAATAAATCAACCTATAGTCGAGCGATCACCCGGTCACCTTTGAAGTTCTCCATCCTCTTGACTCGTCTTTTCACTCTTTAAGTCTTCTCATATCGCGCATGTACAAACGAAGAAACCAAAAATCAAACAAAAATTTTAACTTAAAAAAGAATAGTTAACTCTCCCAAACAATAAAATTGTATGTTTTGTTTGTTTGTTTTTTCTTTAAGTGGCGGTAGATTATTCTTGGTATACGAAGCGCCTCCCGTCATCTTTTCAACTGACTATGGCAATCCGAAGTACGGTGCCTGAAGAGTATCTTCTAGGAAGCTTTCTTAGTCCAAGACGGTTTTTCTTATTTCTAAGATTTCTTTTAGTGACGCCGTAGCGAGATCGTACTTCGGCTTTTCTGTTCAGATCTGAACGATCAATGCGTTAGCGTTTTCTTCTCAACGTTTCAATAAGTGTGTAGCACCGTTGCCCCAGCCCTGCCAGGGCCCGGGCCCGGACTTGCGGGTTGGCCCGGCCCTGGGCAGAGCTCTGGGAATCCCGATTTCTCCTCTTCTTACGATGCTCTTCGTGAATCTGCCTTCTGATCTTTGTGGGTAAGTATATAGGACAGGTCATGGATATATGATTCGATCGAGAAAATAAAACCCGGTTTTTCAATCCGCATGAGTAAGCTACCCATCGCAGCAAGCTAAAACTCCGTGAAAATGTGACACTAAGCGGCGTTAATAATATACCAAAGGTTGAGCAGACGACGTTACCGTGATCAACTTCAAAAGGTACGAGAGGAAAACAAAGTTCCTCGAACTCTTTATGAGCCGACGCTCGCCTAAACCTGATCTTCATCAAACCGAAATTTGAAATTGTGGGCGTGAATGTAACAATTGTGTGAATAAAAAAAATAAACCTTTTTTAACACGAAAGAAAATAGTATTCCCCTTCTAATTAGTGGCCATTATTTTTACCGCAATAAAGGCAACGAATGCCGGCAATCTCAGATTACGGTTTGATGAACATTGTAGGTGCCGTGTATAGACCGACACGCTGTTAGCAAACAAGCCCGCGTTTGCCCACACCAGGTGCGGGCACTGCGCATGCGCAGAAACCGAATTCGAATGAACTGAAGCGTCTGCGCATGCGCAGTGCCGTCGACAGCGCCACCGCAGCTGCGTGACGTCAGGGACGCGTGTTGGTCTATAATGTGCGTGTTCGCAACTTGTGAGCGAACACGGCTTATTGAGCTGAAACAACGGCGGGTGCATACGGACACACCGGGTGGGGAGAGCCGAGCGGCGAGCCACGGACAAGGACGGGACGCCTGGAATGCACAGACTGGGCGCGGTCGCAGACCAGAAAAGACGCTTTTCGTAACACCTAAACATTGCAACCTAAACAGTTCAATAAATTTATCCTCGCATTATCCAAAATTAACCGGTAGGCTTAGGTGAGGTGATTGTCGACTTTTTGAAAAATTTTATTTTTCGTTTGTACCTTTTGGGGATCCAGGTAACGGCGTGTGTTGGAACTGTCGCAGCTTATCTTTACCGCTCACAACCTCACCGAGTTTTTCTAGCTTTCTGCGATAGCGTAGTTTATTTAGGCAGCTCAAAAAACTGGGTTTCATTTGCTCGATGATGACGGAACCCGTCATCATCGAGAACAATGAACAAGATTTTTAACTTTTAAAAGTGGACAGTAACAGTGACTGCAATGTAATTACAGAACAGCAGTTCGAGCAAAGTCAACATTAAGAAGAATTTTTTCTCTTTTAAAAATATTCAGTATAGTAGTCTGTGCCATTATATTTACATATCAGCGGTCAGATTACAGTCAACGTTTTGCAATACAACCTAAAAAAAAAATTCTTTTAAAAAATTATGCAAAAAACATTTTGCATAATTATGTAACTACTTTAATTTTTCTTTTCTTTTAAAAAAATTTAGCAACAGTGCATGGAAAGTATTGACAGACATATCAGAAGTTTATGTAAAGTCAGAATTTTGTAGAAAACCAAAAAGCTTCAACAAAAATATATATTTCAAGTATGTGGCTAGGTTTCGCTACGAAAACCCGACCGTTCAAAAATCAGGAGTAGGATTTAAAGTTGTAAAAATTACAGATAAAGAAAGCTTGAACGACATATACGTTTCGACAGAAATGTGCGGGTATTCGCTTGTTTCTAAAATAGTTACGGCTGCAACTTCCGGTCCTCAAGATGCCTGCAGCAGACGACGAATGCAAGAAGTATGCCGTCTGCCACACGCCGGCAGGTCAAGCCGGCGCCGTCGTTTGAATCGTGTGAACAAAGACGATATTCTGATATTGCATTTGTTTGAAATATAATGAGTTTCAGACACCTCTAAGATTTCATAGTGGGGCGCGTTGCAAAATATGGTTTACTGAAAGTCGGGGCGTCGATCGAGATTATCGTCTGCTAAAAGGTCGCATTCCACCCGTGAGCAAAGCACTTCAGGCGATCGGTTGAGATCCCAAATTTTCTTTGCGGACTCGCGCTACGGGAGGGTGCTTGGTACCCGGTTGTAACAATCGCGTGGAGAAAAATTCTTGCAGTTTCTTCAGATTTCCGCAAGACCCCAAAGCACAAAAGAACTGGATAAAAAACATAAGGTGAGTACATGTAGCACTGGCGGACACAATTGCCTTCATGTAAAAAAGGGCGAACCAACCGACAGCACGTAGAACCCATATTCTGTTCGGTCATAATGTCCTAGAATATGGTGCTATATTTATATATTATTACTATAATATTGATAAAGCAGTTGCATGCGAGTAGTAGTGAGAGTAAACTCCAGCTAAAACTTGCAGTAGTCTTACACTGCTATGGAAAAACAGTGTTGAGAAGTATGCCTGTGTCCATGCGCTATCCGGTTATTTTGTTTATTCGTATATATCTACCTTTGGTGATGTTTTTTTCATTGTGCTCTTCATATATTCTTCTGATTGGACTAGCTTCTTAATTTAGTATTTAGTACATACAAGCCACTATAATAATAATCATAATAAACGACTTACCTCGACGGCGTACGATGTTTCTCCTGCTGGCCTGCACTACGTCGTCGTAACTGATCTGCATGACGTGGTTTGATTTTATGGCATTTTCACCCCTCTGAACTAAGCTGAGTTCATCACAGTAAAAAAAAAGAACAAAAAAAACGCACATTGCGGAGGCCTCTATGGCCATCACGACACACTTTTTTTTGTCGCTCGTTTGCCGACGCAATTCAATGAAGACGCCCGCTGCAACAGAGGCTAGCAAATCTATCGTGTCGTCTGCTACCAAAGCAAAGTGAAGTGTAATACTTCAGAAATGGCTTTCATCGTTGCAGTGCGACACAGAGACGACAAAAACATCATGATTAGATATCAAGACGTCACGTTGCTTACAAACAAATTATTTACTTATTTGTAAGCAAAACCCTAGCCTCATGTGGAGTCTCCATTTATTAGTCCGTAGTAACGTCCCTAGCGACATTTTGTTTGGACCCAGACGCCATGTTCTGACGTGGTTACTTACGGGGTCACTGAATAAAACACCTGGCTAACATTTCAAAACGGCTTTTTTTATAACACATTTGTAAAGTAGTAGCTTACTTTGAAGCCGTTTCTATGCCATGACATAACTAATCTAACATGGCGCCCTTCTATTTTTGTAGGGTGTTTTCGTACCATCGCTCAGGTGTGGTGCTGGAGCGAGGCTCCTGAGCAGCACGCCCGGCCCTGGTAGTGTAATACTAGGGAGTTTTAGCAAACCTCTACCGTGTTCCGCGTGCCAGACTATCGGAGCCTTTGAAACATGCTTTTAAGCGCTCGCCCCGGGGTCACGGTATCACACCGGGCGCGTGTTTAAAAAGCATGCTTCAAAGGCTCCGATAGTGCGGCACGCTGACCACGGTAACAGCTCGCTAAAAGTTTCTAACGTAGTTTATGCCTACGATGTGCGATTGCGCTTTCAGCTGTATAGTGCGTAATCGTGTGTTCGTTGTTCTTCTGTTGGAGACGTCCAGCCGTCTATACTCAGTTTCACCTTCAGTCCGAGCGCAGCGGACGCTAGGAGTAATCCCAGCCAATCCAGTGTGGTGAGAGTGTCATGTGACCTTGAGCTCCCTGAGTCCCTCTGCCCAACCGGCACGTCACGCGATTTTCTCCCGGCGCTGGATCGGCTGGGATGGCCTGTGGCGTCCACTGCGCTCAGACTGAAGGTGGAACGGAGTATAGAAAGGAATCGAGATCTGCGACCGAAATATTTCGAGGCACATTTATCGCACATTGGTCATGCACAAACAAAATAAGTACAGAACCGCACTTGCATAAGCGCCAAAATAGAACATTGACAAAATCAATTCGTTGCCCTCGCCCGCAAACTCTATTTATAGATCGGCAGCACATCTGTCATCTGAGCACGATTTCTTCACTTCATTATTGCATGCGGTGCCGCAAACCTTCTTGGGAATGGGCTACTTGCC